CAAACATGTACTAGACTTTATTTAATCGTGGAGTTAAGAAAGAAGACGTCATTAAATAAAAGGCTAAAATTAGGGTGGGGGTAGTGAATGGAAGTGTGAAAATGCATGTATTAACATAAGATGGTATATCAACTTTTATCACAAGCAAAAGTCAAATCAACCATGCTAACATACTTGGTTAAAAATCTCCCACACTTCAAATATATATTTTTAAATTTGATAAAACGACCTCTAAAATTTTGTACTTTTTTCATTTATATATCACAATGGCATTGTTTACGCAAACATGTTTGTGTTTATTTGAAGCCAAATAATTATAAATCTTATATACTATCATTGGTGAGCTAAACCATCAAACAACGAAAAAAAAAGCTTTAAAAACATGGAAAGAGCTTTATTTATCACTAAGATGTTTGTAAAACTTAAGGATATGCTCGCTATAAACTATTCTCTTTTTTAAGATATAAGATTACCTATTAACTGATGAAAATTTGAAAAAGAATTTAAATTAATATGATCAATAACAATTTTATTGAAATTAATAATTTGTTAAAAATATATGTGCAATCTAGAGAAAATGATTAAATCTTTTTTTATAAGGCGCAAAATGTTATTCTTACAATCAATTGTATCATGTCAATGTCATAATGACATCGTTAAAAACAAAGAAAATGGAAATACGTGATAGAGAAATAAGACACGTAAATTGGTAGATAGGGTGAGTGAGAGGGGACCATCAACCTCAATATACACACGTTTACTAAATAGTAAATTAAACATGTTTTAAATTGCCACTCGCCCATTTGTCATCGTGATGTAATTATAGGTACGCATATTGTGGCGCTGGTGAGACCGGAGAAGGGTCAGCACCTCCAAACTAAAAATTTATTTCTCTAACCAATTAGAATCTATATATTGCCCTGTTTTTCTATTTTGTTTCTCAACCGAATTACCTGTTTAACTTTATTCGTCCTACTTAAATAACGACAAAATTATATAATGGTCCTTGTGGTTACTACAAGTTTTTATGAGAATCTTTTAAGGGCGTCTTTATGTTAAAATAGCTAGAAAATTGAAAGTCGATATGTGATAACTCAAAATTAGTAGCTATTAATTAGAAGTTGTTGTTTTTATTTGTATAGGAGTTTCGGTACAATTAGTTGGAAACTTTAGAAATATATAAAATTTCATAAAAAAAACTATAATTATCAAAAGTTAAAAATCATTCAAATTTTAATACCAAATGCATCCATTAAACTTTTTAATTGGTAAAAAAATTATGTATATTAGTAAATGAAGAATTTTTACAAATAAAGTAAATAAGATTTTTCAACTTTGTAAAAACTTAGATCAAACATTTATTACATATTATAAGTTTTTTCATCGTTCTAAAAGAAAGAATATTATTATATGATATTTATTTGGTTTATAAATTCATTTAATAAATTTTTATTATTTTGCAACATAAATATTAATAAATTATAAAATTAGTCATATGGTTGTTTCAAATAAAGATATTATAATTGTTAGAATTTATTTAAATTTAATAGTATAAGATAATTACCAAAAGTATGGATATGAATATGATATATTTATATTAAAGGGCATTAAGTCAAATTGTTAAAATCTAAAAGAGTTTTTTGTTAAACGTTAGTTGAAGTAACTTTTGGATTTTGAGCTTCTGTTTAAACAAAAAGCTAAAAACTCATGTTCCCGAACAAAGTTTTATTTTTTCGAGCTTTTCTTAACAACTAGAGGCTCCTACAAAATTGTATGTCGAACATGCCCTAATATAAATAATCTTTATGGTTTCAATTTATTGTATAATTGGTCCTTACAACTAATGTCATTAAAAGCATCGTTGAATACATGTAAAAAGTCCAATATACCACCTTGAAATTGATGGTGATATCTTTGAAGTAAATAGGTCTCAAAGCTTCTTTTCAGCATACATCATTGCGACTCATACATCTTTTAGTCAACAACCTCCACCTTCATCCTAGTATCCATCCCCCTCCATGCTTTAAACACCGCCATATTGTCCATCATCCATCTCCGTCACCACATCCACCTCAATATATGCGTAATTACGGCTCGCTTACCAAGCCCACCTCCACCTTTACATTTCCATCAACCCTCACATCACGCTCCTCAATCTCAATAACACTCATAGTACAAAAGAGGATTGAAGATAGATTGAAGAACACACACATAAATAGACAACTTGAGAGCTTCTTTCATGACCACTTGTTGTAGAGGCGGTGAAAAACATGAAATGTTTTTTTTTTGTTTATCATAGACTCAAGGATTGCTTGGTGCTTCAACAAAAACTTTAAGACTAGTTTTGTAGAAAACGAAATAATATGATGAGTTTTAGCAAGTCCTCAAAGCAAAGACATATTCGTAAATTATACCACTAATGTGCTATTAGTGAAAAACGATATGCATTAGACTATGATGTGTGGGATCATCTCACTTTCTCACACCTCTCATATTTTCATGCATTTCAACATCATGTCACGTTTTACCATCCTCCCTTTACTTCCCTTTTTCACATAGGAAATGATCACATCTGGCATTTTCACCCGTTAAGCATGCTAAACGCTCTGATGATGTGCAAGTGAAAAAACAAAGTAAAAAATAAAAATGAGGTTAAGCTTGCGGTGCATTCTCACTGTAGAAGAGCAAAAATGAGAGGGACTATGTCCACCACGCCTCACTGCAAGCCAAGTCATCTCACTTCATGGTATGGTAAAACCACACCCCGTATTTTTATAATGCAATATGATAAGCCTTATTGTAATTAGATTTTACAAAAAGTATCATAATCAATCACTACATGGTTATGAACTTTTCTATTATTCTTATCTTTATTTTGATTTTACCTCCCAATACAAAATGTATATTAAATGGACAATGTGTCCTCAGCATATGGCACTTGATTAGTTAGTTGAAGTTTTCTGTTTCATTAGCTAAATAAATCAAATAAAAACAAAAGAATACACAATGTAAAACTTTCATCATGTATGCATTAGGATGAAAAAACTCAACCACAAATGTCCTATTTAGCATTCTTAGATCTTAAGTGACAAAATTTGAAGATTTCTTGTAGTCGAATGAATTTCAATTCACTATCATCATATTAAAATCAGAAGGTAAACCACTATGTCTAAGTAAATTCGCATTGGATGCATTTAATGCCAGCCCAATACTTGCTTTTACAGCTATTTTTCTACAACTAATTTTTGGGGTATCTACGAAACTAATGAACAACTCATCATATTCACCGCCACTCATGGTGCAACCCACCTCCATCTCATTACCTACCGCACCTGTCACCGCCCCTCTGTTTGCTTTTCCGTCACCATCTTCATTGATTCTGATCGTGATCCACTCGGTTTCCTCCTTTTCACATCTCCACTTTGGTATCTCTGACTTGTCCGCCAACTGTTTGATTCTTTGCCTCAAAGAGTTCGAGGAACACGTGGGTGGAGTAAAATCAGTTCCCACCGACGACGACGACGGTTCTTCCATTGAATTCCACACGTCTTGATCAAGTATACTCGTCGGTGAATCCGTATAGATTTTTTCACATATCATTTGCTTTGAATTGTCGTCAAATTGTTGGAGATACGGGTGTTTGAGAAGCTGTTTCGTAGTCCACCTCTCTCTTGGATCCCGATTCAAACACTTTCTAACGAAATCCTTCGCTTCATCGGAAAATTCATCTGGGATTTCAGGGATTTCCCCGGAGAATGCAATTCTGTAAAGAACCGACGCCACGTCAGTAACGTTTGACCATGGTGAACCACCGGTGGCCATTTCAATCATTGTACATCCAAGCGCCCATACATCCGCCGGAAACCCCTGTTCTTCACCTCGCGCCACCTCTGGCGCCATAAACATCGGCGTCCCATAAATCGGCGCCTCCTCATCAACCCATTTCGCACAACCAAAATCACCAATCTTCGCACCACTTTCGTCAATCAAAACATTCCGGCCTTTAATGTCACAATGCACTACACCTCTCGAATGAAGGTACTCTAACCCTCGAACTATCTCCCTCGTATACCTTAAAATCTCCGAACTCTTCAACCCGCCACCATTTATTCCATTTATTCCGTCGACGATGGAACCAAAAGGCATGTACTGCATCAGAAGATTGTACATCAACTTGTTATCTTCTTTAGTAACATCACACCCTTTGTAGCTCACGACATAAGGACTACTCAAAGTAGACAAGAAATATTGTTCCTTTCGCAAGCTTTGAGCTTGCGACAACTCCATAGACTTGACTGCAAAAACCTCACCGGAGGTGGAGGTGGCGGTGGAGACGGTGGCGGAGGAGCCACGACCAAGAACACGACCTCTAGTCCACCCCATGTCGATTTTCTTGAAGAAAGACGTGCCGTGTGAAGATATTTTTTGAAGGTCGAGTTTGGTTGGTTGATTTGAGGGGTTTGTGGTTTATATATATAGTGGTTGTAAATGAGTAAATTCTTAAATGGAAAAAGGTTTTGTAGTTATGTTGTTGAAATTAAAAGGTGTAGTTATTTGGTTGGGTGGGAAGTCTATCCACGGAGTTGACGATTGGTTTAACGGGAGTTTGACTACGTGGCAAATTGTAGGTAGGGAGTGACAACCTTTTAGGCAAGCCAAGACGGCAGCTATGTGGCAGGGACACGTGTCATCAAGGATTTAATTTGCTTGAAATTGGAAATATATAGATACAAATATATAAATATAAATATAAATATATAATCAATCCCTTGTTTGTGGGGTTTTGTTTCATGAATTTTAGGAAATAATCATCACATGAATAATAATAAGATACGCAATGTGTGAAAATATTTGCATAGAGACGTGGTATTTATGACTGTTTTATGTCATCATACATGGACTCATGTAAAATAAATTGATATATTACATAAAAGTTTAAATGATTTGTATCACTAAGACCAAAAAGATGAGATAAGGAATCTTTTGAAAAGGCTATATAGTGTGATGATGTAAGTTTATTAGATAAGGATATATATATATAATTCCTGAAAGATAAAAGTTTGTAATCACATCCCAAACTTTAGGTTGGATGCCTTATTTTGTAATTGTGTTTGTTGACTTTGAAAACCGAGGATTTTTTGGGGGTTTATGGTAAGGCAGGAGAGGGTTAGGGGCAAAGGGTTGAACCACTAAAGTGGTTGGTGTCAAGTATTCCACTTTTTGGTAGAATATCCTCTCAAACTTTGAGTAATTTGGCATATACTTATTTCCAAAAATAAAGTCTTAAAGGAATTTACTCTTTCAATTCTTGGGTTATGTTTCAAGTCAAAATAAATAAATTGTTTGCATATTCATGATTAGGTGCATCATAGGATTTGTGTTTCATTTCGACCACATAATGCAAAGATTGTACATCAAAATAAAGGAAATGAAGTGATTATCATTAAAACGACATTTTAACCAATGTACTCTATATGGGTTTTGGTAGCACGTCATTTAAGATCGTTTGTCAATGTGAAAATCGTGTGATCTGTATAAAACTCAGGTACTATAAATTGGTCATGTTTTCGTGTGAGGCTATATTGTAAACACGACAATTACGTGTGACATCCAATGAGTATGATAAATTTTGATGGCGATTTTATAATTTAACATGTGTGTATGGTGTGATGGTTCTATTGCATCACTCAACATCTTCTAGAAAAGGTTGATTTTTTTAACTTGTGAATGAAGTGTTGGGTGAAATGATTTTGTAAGTAGATTGGTGGTTATAACTTCTAAATCAAGATTATTAATATATAACGGTCCCCTAAGCATTGATAGACGTATTAAGTTTCTTCTTACACTCAAAAGAATTATTGTGTTTCTTTTGGAATAAGCGTAGTAAAACTTTTGATTTTTATTGTACTAAATACCATAATTTTACGTAAGTTTTTAATTAATATTTTAGTTTTCTGTTTATTAGTGTTAATATGTGATTTGGAATTTGTTGATTCGAATAAATAACCGGACACGAAACGAAGTGAAGAAAACTTGACTTGTGATTTCGAAGGGATAAATGTTTAGTCTACATTGAGGGTCGTTAAACCCAAAGTCGTACACTACAAACACCTATTTCATGGGGGTGCCCCCCCCCCCCCCCCCAACCCCACCCCAGGGGAGGAGCCCATCGTGGTATGAATCTATTTAAATATTTCAGATTTATTTGTATATGAGCTTGACCCTATAGTTGCTATGGGTTTAAAAGTGTGTATCTAGGGATTCCAATGTAATCATTTCAGAAAAACAATCAGATAAAAGAAGAGATATCTGGTTTCTGCCTATAATGAGGCTGAGGGTCATTTAGACCCGAATTTATACACGACAAACACATATTCCATGGAGGTGTTAGGGAAGCTCACCATAGTATGTATCTTTTTAATTATTTCAAAATTATTTGTATATGAGTTTGCCCCTATAGCTGCTAAGGGCTTACAACTATTCATAGCTAGGGATTCCAATGCAATCATTTTTGTAATCATTTCGAATTTATTTGTATATGAGCTCATATTGAATAAACTCCTACAATATGAAATGTTAGTCCATAATATACAATAAGTACTAGTATATGGGTAAAGTGTAACCCCGTGATTTTTCACCTTATTATTTTTATTTTAAAAACATTATTTAACAGGTTTAGGCAACGAAAGTCTTAATTATCATTTGAAAACATCACCTGTATTGTTGGAATCCTAAGTCGATGAGGACTTGGAGACCAAACAATCTAGTTTATGACAAGTTGGTCATAAGTTTCCTAGTCTAATACAAGTTGGTATGTTAGGCTATATATACCTGTCTATAATCGAGTTTATGATTATGAGAATAGATTGTAAAACATCGGTTTTGAGTTAGTTTCCGATTAATCAAAGAGTTATTTTGGTTATTTTGTTTAGCCGTGTAGGGTAAGAGAGATTGTATTCACAAATTGAGTTTTGAGTTATTTTCTCATTTAATCAA